CAGTTTCTTTTCATTTGGCTTATAGGGCCTTGCCTCAGCTGGACACCCCAAATATGTATATGCTTCAAACTACGGCTTCTTGCCCGTCCAAAACTCATATGGGGTTTTATCAGTGGCCTTAGTTAGAACTCTGTTGAGTATATAAGCTGCAGTCTTTAATGCTTCACCCCAGAGAGATTCTGGTAAGGTAGAATGACTAATCATACTCCTCACCATGTCCTGAAGCGTTCTGTTTCGTCTTTCAGCAACACCATTCATAGTGGGCGAACCCGACATAGTGTATTGTGGGACGATACCGCATTCCTCTAGGAATTTAGCAAACGGTCCTGGACGCTGTTCACTTGAACCGTCATATCTGCCATAGTATTCACCCCCACGGTTAAATCTGACGCTTTTAATCCTTTTGTCGAGTTGATTCTCAACTTCAGCTTTATAGTTTTTGAACACATCCAGTGACTGTGATTTTTCATGAATGAGATATATGTAGCTATATCTTGAAAAGTCGTCTATGAATGTTATAAAATATTGTTGATCATTCCAAGAACCCGTAGGGAATGGTCCACAAATATCCGTATGTATAAGTTCTAAGACGTCCGAAGTCCTATTGGCTTGAAATCTCCTTTTATTGGTTTGTTTTCCCTTTATACAGTTGACACACAAATCATAGTCTGTGAAGTCAATAGGGTCGAGAATTCCATCAGACACAAGTCTCTCAATTCTCCTTTTAGAGATGTGACCTAATCTCTTGTGCCACAACGAGGCAGAATTCTCGTCGTTTAATTTTCGCTTTACACCTCGAGTACTTACATGGAAGATTTCATTATAAGAAGCAATTGTATCAATTGAATAAAGATTATCGTAACTTGATAAAAAATTGGAACCAACCAATTTTGAATCATGAAACAAACTAAATTTTCCATTTCCAAAAGAACAAGTATAACCAAATTTGTCCAAAACAGAAATAGAAATCAAATTCCGTCTAAAAGACGGTACAATAAATATCTCAACAAGATCCAAATAAAATTCAATCTTTAACAATAATATAAATTTTTCTATTGCCTCTACTTCCATTCTATTACGTCGTCAGCATAGATGTATCTTTCACCATCACTTGGTTTTCGACAACTCAGGCAACCCTGCATAGACATACTGATGTGAGTTGTTGCACCAGAATCTATCCACCATATATGTCTAGGTAGCGAAGTTAAATTAACCTTAGAACAAATCAAATGAAGAAGAGTACCTTTCTTTACACGCCATGCGTGGTAATTGGTGCAATTATTCTTCTTATGACTTGCAGCTCCACAGAAGAAACAACTGCCTTCAGTTGGTTCCTTATGCTGTTTCTTTTGCGGTGCCGTACCTGCAGCTTCCTTATTAATCTTACTTTTCTTGTTGCTTTTGTCCTTAGAGGTGGTGGCTAAATGAGCACTTTCTATCTTTTCATGCTTCAATCTTTCCTCTTCCTGGACACAGTGTGAGATAAGCTCATTAAGGGACCATGAGTCCTTTTGACAGTTATAGCTCACCTTGAATTGACTGAAATGTGCCGGAAGGGATATCAGAACCAAGTGCACTAACAAGTCTTCAGATAAATCCAACTTGAGTGCCTTTAGTTTTGAAGCAATGTGAGACATTTCCATAATGTACTCCCGAATGTTTCCTTTCCCTTTATACCTCATTGAGACAAGATTTGCCAAAAGTGTACTTGTTTCAGCCTTTTCATTCTTGGCAAACCTCTTCTCAAGGTCTTCAAGGAAACCCTTAGCCGTAGTCACCTTATCGGACATAGTGCCTCGGAATGCTTCTGGAATAGCACGCTTCATGACCATTAAGCTATGGGGTTCGATCGTTCCCACTTTTCCATCTCCCTCTTGTCATCAGAGGTACTCTTATCAGTAAGTGCAGCAGGTTGATCGAGTCAATCAATAAACCTTTCTTTGGACCGATTTATTGATCACACATTAAACCAAATAATCGTCACACGTTTATTACCACAGGTGCACATGTATTCGGCTAAATATTGACCTTCATTTGGGCCGACCAATATTCCCATGAATAACACGTGCACAAACACTTTTTAACATTCTAAGTTAGTCAATTTTCACAAGAGATATTGCTTTGGCAACATGTTGCTTCAATTAACTAACTTTCGAATATTATATCTCTTAAAAGAGTCTTTAGTACCAAAATTTGAGAAGGAGAATCACCAATTTTGCATATTTTGATTAGTTTTAACCTTTAGGGGCCTTAGAATTAATAATTCAAAACTTTAAGGGGGCAAAATTAATTAATTCCAAACTTTAGGGGTTGAAATTAATAAACTTGAGACTTTATGGACCATAATTAATTAATTCAATACTTTAGAGGATCAATTAAAACAAATTTTAAAACTTTAGGGGCCAAAATTGACCAATTCAAAATTTTAGGGATCAAATTTTAAAATTTTGAAACTTTAGGGGTCAATTTGAATTAATTATGAACTTAGGGGGCCAATTTGAACTAGTAATTAAAGTTTGAGGGCTTTAATTATAAATTCAGAACTTTAATGGCCCGAATTAATTAATTTTAAAACCTTAGGGACTGAATTATTAAATTCGAAACTTAAAGGCCCAAAACTTAATATAGCTTAAAGGTTAGGGACTGAAACCTTAATTTTATAACCCTAACCCTAATTGCAACCAGGGGCCTCAAATCATCTAATTTACAGAAGAGGCCCCGCCCCCAAAAATCAAAAAAACTGAAAAACCTAAAAAAAAATTTTTTTTTCTTCTTCTGGCGCCTGGAGTAACGGTGCCGACATGAGCCGGCGCCTGCAACAGCGCCTGCGCAGGCAGCGGCGCCACTGTCGCTGCCGGAAATTTTTTTTCTTGAATCTTTATTGAAATCTGAATTCCAAATCTGAATTTTCTAAACTGAATCAATCTGAACAAAAATAATAAAATTATACCGCAAAAAATTTTCAAATTTAACAAAATATATATAACCAAAAAATGTTAAATCTGAAAATTTCAAAATATATTGCAAGAACCAAACTAAAACCTTTGATTCTCAATGATTCAACATGAAGAGGCTCTGATACCACTTGTTGGATAATTTAATGCTTTAAATTACTGGATCTTTCATATTAAATCATCTAGAAATATAAGAATTAAAGCGGAAGCATACCTGAATCAGACATGGTTAATGCAATATGAATTTCGCGGTATAATCTTCCAAATCTACACGTAGTCTCCTTTTCCTCTCTGTGATGGGATGCAGTAGAGAATGAACAATAAGTTGCATGTGATCTGGGGACACATAACCTATTTATATAGAGATGCCCTTTAACCTAATTCGGTCCATCATAGAATTAAGACTTGGACTCGGTCTCTACACATATATAAATCCATACTTTAATTAGATACATTAAAGCCTAATATCGAAACCTTATTAGATCACTTTAATTGGGCTCAACCGAATTCGAAAGCCTATAATTTAACACACAATTATTCACACATACAAGCCCATCTTTAATTACAAATTCTTACAGTTTATACACTGGTGCCCACAAAGAGTCTCAATTCATGTTTCAGGAATCAAACCCTTATACTATGACTGCCAGTAAGACTGAGTATACCTCACCCTTATTCTTTACACCACTGGGATATGCCCCAAGGGACAGGCCAACATTTAAATTTCTAATCACTGTAGATGGCTTATTGGCAGAGACTTATATTTAGTATATAGTTATTTTTGATAGTGCAATACATATACAACAAATACTCCAAAATTTAAAATCGAACTGCACTCCTTTTTCAGATATTTGATTATTATTATTATTATTATTATTATTATTATTATTATTATTATTATTATTTGTCTCACTAAGTTTATTATTATTATTATTATTATTATTATTATTATTATTATTATTATTATTATTATTATTTGTCTCACTAAGTTTTTTACAAATAAGATTTTTTTAAAAAACATTGTAATCAAACGAGAGTGTTATAATTATGAAATAATTATTGGTACTATTTAATTTTATCATGATACTTAAATAAATATTACTTTAGACTTGTGTTTTCTATTCAAACTGTAACCCTATTGAAACCTTATAAATATGGATAATTATTATAATGAAAATACACACTCCATTTTGCGTATGTTACATTTTTTTTCTATTGTTCTTTCTTTTCCTCTTAGTTTTAAATTTTATTTCTTTTTTAAATTTAACTCATACCTTATTGTAATTTTCTTTCAATTTATTATTATATACCGTTTTGGCAAAATTTAAAAACCTGATTGTTATTGACGTTCAATTATGCCAATTAAAGGTTTCATCGTCTCATAAATATCATTTGAAATTGTATTTGTGAAAGTATATTGATGGGTGTCAAAGTTTGTTGACAATCTTAAACGGATTCACCCCACCAATAGGGTTACCACTCCTACGGGGTTTAAGTTTGTCGTTGAAACATTTATACAATTTGTACCTCTCTTCCCATGTAGAGATAATTTTGATCGGTATCAACCATTATAAACTAGCAGTAGTTAATGGATGTAAATGAAACCGTTTAAAGTTTAATTGTCAAAGTGAAATTCATTGTATAGTTTATCGGTCATTCATACAATTAACCAATAGAGTATACAATGGCCCAGTTTGAGCCATTGTTTTAGAATAAATTTTGTAAAATTAATTTTTATTGCGGAGCGTGTAATTCAAAGTAAAAAAAATAAAAAAATTAAAAAATTACATATAAAAATATTTTATTGAAAGAATATATCAATAAAAATAAAGTCTAAAAAATAATTTTAAGAATAAGGCTCAAACTATTGCTATAATTTTTAGTCATGAAAGAAATAATTTTTGGACTTGCCAAGTATATTGAACGGTCTTGATGATTGCTTGTGCACTATAAAAGTACGAGTCAAAAGCAGCATAGCATTGCTCGGATGGATTTTTCGTGTACCCATAGCAAAGTTCTGCTTCGATTATCTTCTCGAAGTACCATAATAATTTGATAAGGCCCATGGTAGCTTCCAGATTTTCTAGACACTTCTCCCATACACAAAACCCCAAACAATCCCCACTACAAATCCTTGCTCCCAAAACTTTAACTCCATCTCCACGATACAAACAAAGACACACACAAGAAATTATGGCCCTGTTCGGCGATCCCTTCCGGCGCTTATTATGGAGCCCCACCTTCTACCGTGCATCCCCAGGATCAACGGCTCTCCTTGATTGGATCGAATCCCCTCAAGCCCACATCTTCAAAATCAATGTTCCAGGTAAATCATTTATCATTTTTCCCTGTTCTAATTTTTCGAAGGCCATACTTTTATGGGTTTTGTTTGGATGCAGGTTATGGAAGGGAGGATGTTAAAGTGCAGGTAGAAGATGGGAATGTTCTGGTGATTAAAGCTGAAGAAGGAAAAGAGGAATCCCTCGGAAAAGACAAAGACGTTGTTTGGCATGTGGCCGAGAGGAAAATGGAGAGGGAAAACTTTTCGAGGGAAATTGAATTGCCTGAGAATGTGAAGGTGGATCAGATCAAGGCTCAAGTGGAAAATGGTGTGCTTACTGTTGTTGTTCCTAAAGATACAACTCCCAAGGCTTCTAAAGTTAGGAACATCAATGTCAATAGCAAACTATAAATCTAAAAAATGTAAATGCAATGGTAATTAGTGAAATTGCCATTTGAATATGCATTACTATGTGTGTTTATGCAATAATATCAGAGGTACAGTACGAATAAAATTCCATTTTTGAAAGTCATTTGTATTTTACACCTTAGGTTCTAATCTTTTATTTTAGGTTGGTCAATTACCATTGAAAGCAAATTTCTATCTTTTTAACAGTAGTACTCGTCTTAAAATGTTAAATTAGTGGTCAATCAGTTTAAAAATGGATTTAGCAGCTCAAGTTTTAAGCTTTCTCTAACCACAATGTGAAGAACTATGGCACAATGATGTTGGGCTGATTTAATATTTCTGCTGGGCTGATTAGTCCAAAAGATAAATGGTTTACTTAATGTTGGTAAAAATCGTGTTATTAGCGCTTTCTATAAAATTGAAGCAATGGTTATGATCTTGCCAAGTGACATCCTACTGACCGTGATTGCAAGACTTCTAGGGTCTTCTATTTGACCCTCATTAGGGTACGGATGAATGAGATTTTTCACTTTCTCTATCTCATTCTGCCACTTCATCTCTCTCAAGAGGCGATTCTTTTTTCTTGATCTAAAGTCTGTCCAAAAAAAGCTTCTTTCGATATGAGCCCCAAATTTGTATTATCTTGAGTGATTTGTATAGATTATGATTCTTAAGTGAATGGCTGTATCGATTAGTGAGGTTTATGTTGAATAATCTTGAGTGATATTCTGAGTGCTACGGGATTTCCGTACAATCTGAATAGTTTCATTGATTCGTTGATATAGTGATTTCTTTCGGTTTAACGGAAGCTCAAACGGAGATTAAGAACGGACCTCTTGCCTTAGAACGAAAATTCTGTGTTCATTTCATGTTTTCTACAATTTTTTCATATTTTTAGTTTTATGGTTTATGTTCTTCGACAATTTTTGTTGATTAAACTTGCCAGTTTTTGTGAACTTCTCGTTACACGGAAAGATCTTGTGTGGGGGCAATTAGGCTATTTACGCATTAACTTTGACACATTAACACACCATTGTTGATAGAAAAGTGACGTGGCAAGATTTTAATGGTTGAATTAAATGTGTAAAATGTAAAAGATTATGGGAGATTGTGTCAAGTATAAGTTCGATAAATCAGGGGGTAAATTAAAATGTACATGTAGCAAGATTTGTTGATTTTTGGCCTTTTGTTATAGACACTTCAAATTTTAAGTGTTGCGATTTAAGTTATGAAGGAGATAGTTTTACATCAAATGGGACAATTACATAGAAACGTCCACTTAAACAATTACGTAGATAAACAATTGCACAGTCAAATACAAAGAGAAATAATTATCACCATCCCTTTACATCGATGTTTATGTTACATCTAATTAACACTTTCATTTCTCGTTGTCTTTCGAATCTCGTTTTCCCTTGTGAATAGTTATGTTGAGGGAAATCTCCACATCTTCTTCATCGGTTATTTTTGCAAATTTTTTGAAGATACATGACAAATCATCAATTGGATATTTAGACTTTCTCCAACTCTGCATCAAAATTTGAGGTAAGTTTTGTACCGTTTTATACTAAATCTTGCATCAAACTAAAAATTATTTTCAATAATTACACCAAAACTTTCACAAAATGAACAATGTTTAATCATTTTCTTTTTTTTATTCTTAATAATTTATTTATTTGAAAATTTATTTTTTTAGTTATTTTACGAATACATAAATTACTAAATAAATAATTACGTTAAATTAACGAAAATATTAAATTCATTAATGAATATAAAAAAATATTTTTTACATTATTAAAATTTATTTTAAATGCAAGTTGTTGTTGTTGTAGTAGTAATTGTAGTAGTAGTAATAATAGTGGTGGTGGTGGTGGTGGTAATAATAATAATAATAATAATAATAATAATAATAATAATAATAATAATAATAATATAACACAAATGACACAAATACCTTTCATCAATTAGTTTGGCAAATAAAAGCAAACGGTAAATTTCACTCTGCACCATTTAGTGCAAAATGGCGAAAAGTTTGGTGTCACATTGGAGAAGTTTTGCCCCAAAATTTGTTGTGTTTTGGTGATTTGGTGCTGTGGCGGAAACTTGCTCCAAGGATCGTTAAATCGATGTTTTTGGGCTCAGTTTCACGTTACTTTTCTCTACCAACCAACCAATCCAAACACCTCCAACCATAACCAATATATTCACCTTGATTACTTCTTCTTAATTTCACCCACAAAGGACAAGCTAATGGTGATGATTTGTAACTACAAAGGCTAAAAGAAAAAAAAAAAAAAAAACCAAGGAATAAGGCACGAGGAGGGAACCATAATCAAGAATGCAACTGCTGATTTTTCAACACAAAGCAGCTAATTATTTTCTTTTCCAAGGCAGCCATGTTTTCTCTTCTTTTGCACACAAATCACACACTAAAAAAGGGGCTAAGGTAAGCACATATATATAACGTTAGGTTAGGTTAGACTTTAAATGGACCAATAATAACGTTAATTGGGTCAAAATTCAAAATCATCCAAGAGATAATATAAATGGGTCTGGTTGAGCTTTTGGACTTGGTTGTTGATAATTATTTCACTCATTGGTCAAGATTTATGAAATATATTCTGACATTTAACATTATACTCTAGAATTTATTGGGGGGGGTGTCAAAACCCAACAGGTGCATCCTGTGAAGATGCCCTTAGCCTTAGATGTCCATAGAAAAGTGCTATGAAATTTTTTACCCGAGAGAAATGTCATTCCACTTTAAATACCCGCAATCGCGACTATAGTAATAGAATAACTGCTATTTGTTTTCAGTTTTCTTTTTCACCACCATCACTTTCACGAAACCATCGCCACATTCTAAGCATCTTTTCTTTTTCAGGCATTCCAACAATAGGTGTCATGGCTTTCTGCCATTGAAAGTTCTAATGAAACCACACGAATTGAATCAATATCGACTTTCTACAAAATTAGCAAATGCAGTGTGTGCAATTGAACCAACCCAACGACAGAATTCCAAAACAAATCAAGCCATCAATTTTAATATTACAAAACAAGTTATAGCACACATTTACATTTGGAATAGCAAAACATGTTACACCCATCTAAATCACCACAAAAAAAAAGGAAAAAAAATTCTTATTCTGCCCATTATTAGTTTAAAAAAAAAAAAAAAAAAAAAAAAACCCCTTTTTGTCAATTTTTATATCCCACAAATGTTAGGATCATAACAAGTAATAAAGTAGACATAAGTGTCCAGTTATTATTTTCACGATGACTACTATTTAACAATTGGTTCAATTATTCATGACCTGATCGAAAACAAATAATAAGTTTTATGATTGGTGTCTAAATTATTCTAACTAAACAAAATTATCTAACGTACACAACTTATCAAATTTTGGATTTTAAAAGTATGAATATGGATGCTAGGACTTACAATGTTACCTATGACTCCTTTTAAAATTCGTCAATCAAGATTCATTACAATTGTAATGTTTATCGAATTTTTCTGAAGTATTCAATTTATCCCTTTTGAGTTCTTATTGAATTTATTTAACTAATTCAATCTCATATTTCTATGAAAAACAATCTTAGTTAAATGAAATATTAGTTATGAGAATTCATCAAACGATTGTAACAATTAGTATTGGTATTTCTACATGTTATACTAAATTATCGAATTTTAATATATGGTCTAAATCTATAACTCACGTATCGATACGTAATAGACTCACAAAATTATTGAATAATTGGTCGAAGAATTCAAAACATTAAGCACATAATTAAAGTCATCACACATGTATTTAAAGAACTTAAATCTTGAATAAAAGAAAAAAAGGGCCACACATATATTACATTGTTCGCCCTAGCTGTGAATTTAGCTATTCATAATAATGGAAGGAAAACAAAAAGTATAGAGTTCATCACCGAGTTTTGAAAATCTTAATCATGGGAAGAATATGATCTTGTATCAAGAATCTTCTTCAACTTCAGAAGTCTTCAAACTTTGGCTTTCGCTCTTTTATCTTTTACGATTATGTGTTTCTTTCTCCCCCAAATTGTGTGGAACTCCATTAAAATTGTCAAAAACTTGTTTATATAATTGTCCCCACATTTTGTTGTTGCTGTAGGATTTATATAGGCTTTAAAATAAGCCAAAATGCACCATAGATATGCCCAAGTGGCATCTCAATGCCATAGGAGTGGCACCGTGATGCCACGGCTCAATTAGAATGGAATTTTGGAGGTGTCTTTCGGTGAAAATCTACATATTCTTCCTTTAGTATTTTTATATAACTTTCTCTTTTAATATCCAATTGAGGTGCTTTAAATTAGATTGTAAAGATGACTCAAAGGGTTACGACCTTACTTAAAAGAGCATTTTTCCAATTTGAATGTTTACTAGGTCAAAAATAGGTTTTAATCTTGAGCTGAAATTTGAAATATCATTGTGCCGTTGAAAATTGATTTGTGAAAATATTTGACCATATTTAACTCCTTTTGAATTCTAGTTGCATCTAATTGATCCATAACATTCTCAAATCTTCATTTTAAGGTCTGATAAAACTTTTGAGTATTTATATTTTAGTCCCCAAACTTTGACTCTTACCTCTTTTTTTTTTTTTTTTTTTTTCCAATTTTTGTTTTCTTATTAACAAGTTTCCTTTTTTTTCTTTGTCAGGACCACCAAAAATAAGTAGGAAAATCTTTTGCTTAAGTTATTTTAATTCCACTTCCATTTATCAAATTTCACATAATAAACGAAATATACAATAAATTAGACTATAATTGTTCAAAAGAGCTATTAAATATCTATATTTTTTTGTCCAAATAAGTGTATAAATTATACCGATCAAACACCTCCAAACATAAGTATTTGTTTGTCCTCAAACAAAATCATAACCTAATTTAATAAACATACAAACATGCAAAAGGTTTTGATTAGATAACATGCCGTTTTGTCTCATGATTGGAATGAATCATTATTTTTAATTTATCAATAGTTTCAAGGTTGCATTACCAACATCAATAGCTACTTTTCCAATATAAAACTGATTTGTATGTGAAGAATTAAGTAAAACGCTATAAATTCATTACTTATTTCAATCTTCGACCTTC